AAGTGCTGGGCACTAGACTATGCCAGAGTAGCTAATTATTCATGGAGTGCCACTTGTCAAAATGCCATCTCACTGCTAGGTAGAAATCCTCCCCTTGGGACTGCCCCCAAGTCCATTGGCTAGGTTAAGTGAGAAAAAGTGCCCTCTTTCTGCTTAGGATGTTCTTGTTCTGTGTGTTAACCAAACATGAAGTCTACAAATACTTCCTTTTGTTCCTTCCTCTTCCCTGCCCTGGCCTTCACTCCACATCTTCAGGGCGAAATATGACATATTTGGTATAAAGCAAATATATTCATTTTGTTTCTAGCTGGTAAAATATTCATATGAATTTCTGGAAAGACACCTACTGTTCTGGGCGTGAATTGAGCTCAAGGACAAATGTTGTAATAAATTCAACATTACACTAAACTTACCAATACACACTGACAATTTTGAAGAGCTTTCCTACCCAGTGAATTCCTTAAGGTGGACTTACTAGAGACAGGAATGCTAGAATGCACAGACAGGGCTAAATTATTATGGAAATACTAGATTGAGAACAATAATTTTAAAAGCCAGAGGCCACCAATGAAGGAGGTAGGAAGACTTTCAACAAATATGAGTGGAGTCTTGCTGACCAAGGAGACAGGAGAAGGTAATTGCACTGTTATTTTTCGGAACCTGGAGAAAATGGCACCTCAAAAAATGGAGGAAAAGAAATACAGAAGAGAGGAAAGGCTGTGCCAGGGAGACAATAAAAGGAAATAGAATTAGAAAAAGAGACATAAGAAATTGGGATGACTTTGAAAGTGTCAATACACAATTTTGAACTCAGTGTAAGGTAAACTTTAAGTCATAGTACTAGGTTTTGCAGAGCCATGAGGCTTAATACATGATACATTATTAGTGCCATCTTTCCAGTATAGCCTGTCCCAATGATAAGAATTAGAAGTTCAGAGAGAAATTTCCTTAGTGATATGGAATGAAAAGCTCTAGAAAAGAGTATTATTGTTAATAATAGCAGTGCCTGAATGATTCTGGTCAACATCGTGATCTGGTTGTTCTAAGAACAGGGAGATGAATGGGTTTTGCCTCAATTAATTTTTAGGGTGATATAAAAGCAAACACAGCCATAAAGGACAGAGGTTGAAGAGAAAGAAAAACAGCATTAAGGGCATGTATTAATAGAAGATGTCTGTGTCAAATTCTCTATTTTGTCTCTATTTTAAGAGACAAAAAAGAGAGAGGATAAATCTTCAGTAGCCCACATACAGTGCGTTGGGATATTTCCTGATGAAATAGCACATGTAGTTGAAATGAAGGTGATGGGTGATGGAAAGGTGTTGTTAAGCTTACAAAAAAATCCCTGTGATGAGCAAACATGACAAGAGCTACTTTTTGGGAGACAGAAGGGTTTCTGTTGTCAAAGCAATTAAGAGTGGAATGGAGCTAGAAATGGACCAGAAAAGCAATATTATATAAAAGTATATAAAAGGGAGCAAACTTGCATGAGTCATGGGAATGGAAATAACCAGAGGAAAAGGAAGTGGGAAAGGATAAAGCAAAGAAATGGAAAAACCTTCAGAGAATGGTTTCCACTCTGAGCTGCTGAAGCAGGGTGAAAGCGTAAGGAGGGACCATTGCTCAGCAAACTACCAGGGAGGGGTGGGCTTGCTGGAAGTGGCTGGGGGCTGGGACGCATGAGAAAGCAGGGCATGGGAGGGTGGGATGGAGAACAAAAGGCAACCGGGGCAGATGGAGGAGGTGTAGAGATTGACCAGAGGAAATGGGCAGGAAGATCTGTAATCACTACACAGTATTCTTCACAAATTAGGATAAAACATTATCTCTGTAGCTTTGCATTTCTTGGTTGTCGGGAAGTGAATGGGAGCCCTGCAGCTGCTGGGTTGTGCCTGGCTGCTCTGTGACCAAGGAGCTGCTGTCATGGATGAGCTCTGCCAGAGAGCAGCTGCGTGAAAGGAGCCTGGGTTAGTTTATCTGTGCTCCTGGTATTGAACTTCACTTGTATTTGCAGCACGTTGTAGACAGGGTGATGATGGGTGGGGCTGTGTGTTGACATTGTTCTCCTGAGCCAGGACAAGCAATTTCAGGCTTGGCACAGAAGGTTAAGAAATATTTTTAAGAGAAGCTAGATTCATCTTCACAGCAGTCACTGCTAATACCAAAGGGGCACCATGCCAAGACTGGATCGTCTCATAATCCAACTAATCCCATTACGCCAAGCTTTGTATGGTCCCCAATTTGGTAGCAGTCTCAAAAATCACTGTTTTTACATACTGATTACTAACCTAGTATGGGCTGAGCTGAACAAGGTGCTCTGACCCTTTAACGCACTCACACATTTGACTCATAAAGCAGCTCAGCAGAAATATTTTTTAACATTTTATAGTTTTTGGAAAACATTTTCTATCCAATACCTGCATCTTCTTTCAGCTCATCCAAATGCAGCTCCTCACCAAGCGAGATCACAGTTGTCATGGCTGCTGTCGCACTCTCTTGCTGCACCTCTTCTGAGGCAAGTGCCTGGCACGCAGGAGCTGGAGGGTCACTCTTCATTGCTTTCGTGGCATCGTCACCAGTGCAGACTTTGCCTTCAGTATCTAAAACACCAAATCATTTAAGCTTAACTAAACCATGAGCAGTGAAAGCTGAAACTCCCTTCTATCCTCTTGAAAAGAATGCATCTCAAAGCTGCTAGTGCTCAAGAGACTGAGATTTGTCTTAGAGCAGCACCTAATTTCTAACAGTGCTGAGCATCCGTAATGCAAAACTTGTGGAGACCAGCCCATCTGGATACTAATATCCACCCAGTTTTCTCAACAGGGCACCTTTTTCTGTGAACATCCAGCAGCCTCGGCAAATGGCCATTGTGCATGGACAGGAAGGCCACTGTACTCTGTAAGCACCTGCTATGGGAGATGAGCACCAGCATGGGAAATGAAGAGGCCTCTGGGAGAAGGCAGTTCCTCGCACAAGCAGAGCTCGTGCTGCAGCGCATGCACAGGTTGGTCTGATGTGCCTGAGCTGTGCCAGGCTCCGGGCACGACACGCTGCCATCCTGCAGCCCCAGCCTTACCAAAGACAGGGCTGCTAATATTCCCTACCAAGCTGTAGGTTTTGAGCATAGTTTTAGTTACTCAGCTTTGAAAAGCGTGTCTTGTGTGATTGAGCTGATCAGAAATTCAAATCCCTCTTTATGCAGACCTAGAAACTGCTCCCTTTGCTTACTCCGAAAGATTTTTGTGCCAGTGATCCCTGCAGCTGTATGCATCTTGATGACTGAAGCTTTTCTAGTATTCTTCTATTCAGGCAAGAGTCCTCAGAATACAAACTATGCTTTTACTTCATGACTCTCTTAGAATTTCCAAGACCTACATGACTGCTGCAAACCAAAGCAATCCCCTCTTGTTCTAGCCAGTGCTCTGTGCTGATGGACATGTCTGCTGCCTGCTCCTTGTATTTCTCAGCCCTAGACACTCCTTTCTGGAAGCTCCTGACAGGGCTATGTTTTCTTGCAATGATGACACGTTTCTTGAACATAGATTTAAAATGCTAGCATTCACAGCTACTCCTGTTTAATACTATTTGAACAACCTGCAGAGTAATCCCTTTTGGGTGAGGGTATCAGATTTTGGCCCAGAGATGCTGCAGATGGGATGCAGTATTTTTGCATGCTGAGCTCACTCAGTCTGCCTCATAATCACGTTTGGTGAAAAGTTACCGTTCTTAAAATAGCCCCTGCAGTAGCACAGTTGCTATGATACAGGGAAGGGGAGGGGAAAAAGTTCATTGCCTACATTTCAGCTCATTGGGAAGGCAGCCTATACATAATCATCGGTGTATTAACAGCTGCCTGCATTCTTTGACAGGCAGCCCTTTTCTCTCACTGCTCTAAGTACAGCTACATCTGATCAGTTTTGTGCTCACAATGGGCAGAAATATCGGGGGAAGCTCACTAAGTGTTTTCAAGGTAACTCTGCTTTGCACGTTTCTCACATCCTTCAGAAAGGCAAACTGCTGAGAGCTGTGCCCCAGTGAAACTGCAGTCAGAGATACGAGTTCCTTCAGATCCCGGGCAATGGAAAGTGCAGTGACTAACGAAGTAATGACAAGCAGAAGACAGCCCTGTTGAGAAGTGTCTGAGACTCACAACAGTGATGCTCCTGGTCAGAAACGATCAGCTCATGCTTAGATCAAAGTGGGTGTGCTGCTTTGATTGGCAGTGGGTGCCAACTCCATATTTTAGAGGTAGTCGGGGAAGAGGAGAAAGCACAGATGTTAGATCCACTGGTAAGGAAAGCAGCAGTGTATCTGGAGTATTGCAAAGTGATCAGGAGTAGGGCTGTAATTTAGCAGGGAATGAATCCCGCTGCATGCCAGGCCCTGAACCCTGTAACCTCTTACAGAGTGCAGGTTGTTTCCCCAGAGTAAAGCTGTATTTGACCTGTGGGAGCAGAGCTGGAGAGGAGAGGAGAGATGGGGCCCAGGCTGCGTGACTTCATCTGCGCAGTGTGTCTGGGCAGCTGGGTGCTGGGGTTGTGTGAGGAGAAAGGGTGACATAACCTGTGAGGATGACTCATCACCCAAGCAAGGACGGTGCAGTTTCACCCTGGGCTGCTCACAGATTGATGCAGATTCTGCCTTGGCTTTGTGGTTTGCTCTGAGCCAAACTGTCCAGTTTAAAATGCTGCTCGACAGCCCTTGTGCTACAAAGCCAGAGCGTGGCACAGCTATTGTAAATGCATGAAGCAGATCTGGAGATTTCTGGGACGATTGCTTCATTCCAGTTCGGGCTGTTTATGAAAGTGAGCAGGAATCAGGTGTCTGGAAGTGGAGTAGAACTTGATGAAATAGAGGGATTTGAGGGTTTACTGTAGTCTTTTAGCATAGTATGGCTGCTTTGACAATTGCAACTTACTGCATAAATGAGGACTTAGCCTTGAAACTGCTGCCACGTCAGCTCAGTCCAAGTAGGGCACTAATCATTTACTGAGAATTATTTGGGTCAATTTTTGATTCCAGTTAATAAGCTGCTTCTCCTAATAATATACTATAATAACCCTGGAGATTCACAGCACTGTAAAGAAAAATAACTTGCAGGTGGCTGCAATGTCCTTCAACTGACTGTTAGCAACTCTTTCCTTTCTGAGCAGCAGGGTGGGACTGAAAAGTTGTTTGATCTTTATGGGAGCCCTATGTAACTCCATTGCAGACAGGTAAGCTGTCTGTTGGCAGCTGCCTTTCTGAATGCACAGCTTGTCATCACTTCTCACTGGACTATATGTGTTTATTTAACTATTTTAATTTTGTTAAAATTATCTGGCAACTTAACATCATCTGTTTTCCTCCCAGCCTGCTCTTTATGCATTCAATGGGTTTATTGAATGCTTATTATTATTATCTTTAAAGAATACTTTAAAATGTGCTCTACAGAAGTTTTACTGTGCTTTTGCAAAGCTCTAGATACACATCTTCAGATTAATGGCTTATGGGGAACTCCCATACTCCTAGCAGAGATAGGATGTAATTTTCTATCCCATAGTGCTAACAGCACAACTGATTATCTAGAATTATGAGAGGCACAAAGAGTTCAATGGAAAGAATTAAAAATGAGCTTATTTTAGAATAAACTGATGGTTTGATTTTTTTTTAACTTGAACATAAAATACATATTAAAATATATCCAATAAAATAATAAGAAAACAACTTTACTGCAAAGAAAAGAAAACCTGTTGGAAATGCTTTTTCTGACTCTTCAGTTGCTCAGTTACACTCCACCATAGCATCACTGAGTATTGTCCCATAGGCTATTTATTGGGATGGCATTTATTCTAGACAAAGAAACTCAACTAATAGTTTCAAAGAACATAATTTCTATCTGATTGGTCAAACTCGAAAGGCAAATCTTTCTTCATGACAGCGCTTTCTACTATAAAGTTTTCAAAGTAAAGATGGATTTTTAAATATTTATTCTTTTTACAAGTCTGTTTAGGTAGAAATGACATTTGGGATGTTGTCCATAACATTGGGAGCTCACTTGGTCTCGCAGAATTGTCACCCAGATCTCGGTCTCCCTTGAGCATCTGTCAGGGCTTTGGGGCAGGGGTATGCAGAGCCACCGTCCTTTGTGCACGTTTCTGACACTGTCACCATTCGTTCAATGACTTCT